GCTTCTACACAAAGTTTAGCATTCTATTTGGTGATAATCTATTGATATTTAGCTTCTAAACTAAGTTTAGCATTCTATTTGGTGATAATCTATATTGATACTTAGCTTTTAAACTAAGTTTAGCATTCTATTTGGTGATAATCTATTGATATTTAGCTTCTAAACTAAGTTTAGTATTCTATTTGGTGATAATCTATTGATATTTAGCTTCTACACTAAGTTTAGCATTCTATTTGGTGATAATCTATATTGATACTTAGCTGTTAAACTCAGTTTAGCATTCTATTTGGTGATAATCTATTGATATTTAGCTTCTAAACTAAGTTTAGCATTCTATTTGGTGATAATCTAATGATATTTAGCTGGTTGATAAACTCTATTACTGACTCAGCTAGGCTGTTGAGAGTGGACACTAGAGGTCTTAGCTAGTCATGGTATAGGTTTCATTGCTTAATGTGAAGTAACATTTAATATAGAAATTCCAAACTGTTTAACTCAAGCATTCTACTAACAGTTATTATTGTGAACGTCCAACATTGAATTTATACATATAATCTTGGGCTAACTGTACACAGACAGACCATATAAACAACTTAGATTGATAAACTGATTTATAACTGATATACTGATAAAATATCCAAATTTCAAAAGTTAAGTAAATATTATTACAGCTTTTTCAAAAAGTAGATCATTAGATTAACACTAGGTGTAAAACGTAAGGTTATTTTCCAACCACCGAGCTATAAGAATAATTATTGTAAAAATGTAAGAAATTATTTATACAAACTATTTTTAATAATGTACCTAAAAAAATTGTTACGGTTTAAAAAGATTTTTTCTTTTAGCAAGAATGGATATTAAAACCTGACTTCTAAATAACAACTAATATATCTATGCTGAATTACTTCATTTGTATTTTTTTTTGTCTGAAATATTGGATACTAATATCAATATAAAATAGTTTGCAAAATTAATTTTCTGCTTATGGAATATGTTTATTTATATAATGTTTTTGTAACATTATGAGAGTTTACTAAGTATAATAAGATGTAATTAGTATTGTGCCTGTGATTCTGTTATGAGGTACAAATGTGTAATCATATTGTTAATACAGCTGTATTACAGAATACTCTGTTGTCAGTTTTCTGTTGAAGTGATTGTCTGACTTTTTCATCCATGTTTTAATGAAGTCTAATTAGCTAAAAGTTAGAACCTTTGTTTTGATCAACTGGAGATAGTTATATTGAGATAGTTAGGGCTAGTTCAGGTGGATGCATTTTGTTAAATGAAGAATTCAAACTTGTTAGTGAGGTATTTAAGCCAGTTTTAGTTCACTAAAGTTTATGTTACTGCTGTTAGTGTGGATATTCAGGTCTGTTTAAGTACACTAAAGATTATTTCACTGCTATTAGTGTGGTATTCAGGTCTGTTTAAGTACACTAAAGTTTATGTTACTGCTGTTAGTGTGGTATTCAGGTCTGTTTAAGTACACTAAAGATTATTTCACTGCTATTAGTGTGGTATTCAGGTCTGTTTAAGTACACTAAAGTTTATGTTACTGCTGTTAGTGTGGTATTCAGGTCTGTTTAAGTACACTAAAGTTTATGTTACT